TTTATCATCGTCTCAGAGATGGTTTGTGACGTTACAATAGCGAAGCCGATACCATATTTGAGACTTGGCGATGGCGCGCCGCTTGTCACCTCAACCGACCTGTTCACCGTCTTGATAGACAGCATAGCCGGCACGTGCTACAGCGCGATCAAGCATTTGAAATCCAATCACCTGTTCGTCATGCCCTCCCGTTTCTGTGTAAGAAGTGCCTTTTTACCGATAAATTGGCGATTCTTGGATTTGACGAACTTACCGAGACCAACTTCATACGGGTTCGTGTTGTCGTTCATATCCATGCCGTAGAGGCGGAGCCCGGCTTCAAGGCGTAACGTGTCGCGCGCGCCAAGTCCCACCGGTTGCCCTTCAGCTTCCATCACAGCAGGATAGAGGGCATTCCACAATTTTTCTGCATCGTTGGCATCAACATATAACTCAAAGCCAACTTCCCCGGTATAACCGGTTCGTGAAATGACAATAGGGATCCCCGCGACTTCACCGAGTACAAACCGAAAAAACGAAATTTCAGAAACATCTCGTTCAGGAACGAAAGGCTTCAGAATGTTTATCGACTTTGGACCTTGAAGTGCAATGAGTGCGGTGTCCTCACTTACATCTTTTACTACTACATCCGTGTCGTTGTGAGCTTCCACCCATGCGAAGTCTTTTTCAATGTTGGCAGCGTTGACGACCAGCATATAGTGATTATTGGCGTGCCGGTAAATGAGCAGATCGTCAACGATTCCGCCTGTTTCATTACAGAATAGGGTATACAACACACGTCCATCTGTTAAACGTCCCACGTCGTTCGTGCTAAGTTTCTGCACCAACTCGTTTGCACCCTGTCCACGAATCTCGAATTCTCCCATGTGCGATAGGTCAAACAAGCCAACATGAGTTCGGACAGCGAGATGCTCTTTAACAATACTGCTATATTGGAGCGGCATCTCCCACCCACCGAATTCAGTGAATTTGGCATTGAGCGTTTTATGTGCCTGATAAAGCGGAGTTCTCTTCATTTGTATTCACCAAACACGCCGAAGATTTGGCGTATCTAAAGCCCATAAATACGTGCGAGATTCCCACCGAAAATCAGTGCCTCAGCATCATCATCGAGTTCCAACCGTTTGAGAGCGTTGATAACCTGAATAGGTCGGTATTCTGGTAAATTAGAACCGAAGACTATCTGTTCTGGTCCGAGTTCATCAACGGCAGTTTTCACCTCAGTTGGAACAACGGTGTCTGGATCCGTCCCCCAACGGCGATGAAACCGCAAGATAGTAGTCCCCAGCGAAACATTTTTATTCGCTTTTGCGACAGAGATACCCACGTCTAAATCGTCAGGAAACCCCATGTGATCCATGATAACGGGCGTTTCTGGCACCCAACTTGCGACAGTACCGATCCGGTTTGGATGGCAATTGTTAGGTCCAGAGTGAATTGAGATGATAAGTCCATAGTCCCGTGCGGCTTCAACAACGGGACGCACGATAGGATCATCTACATTGTAGTTGTGAATGGCGGGCATCAGCTTAATCCCGGGCATTTCCCACACTTCAGCAGCCAATCTGACCTGCTCAACAGGCTCCGGTTCTGTCGGATGTACAAGTGCGCAACCGAGGGCACGCGGATTACCGCGAATCGCATCGGCAAGTTCACTGTTTTCAGGAAGCGGTTGGGGATTCGGCATGACAACAACGACATCCATGTCGGCTTCGTCCTCCAATACTAACAACGCTGATAAATTGAGTTTGCCGTTTTCATCACGAAATGTGTCATTGAGATAGGCTTCAAAATCGCCTCGCATGAGAAGACTCCTTTATTTCAAGGTATCGGGGTTAGAAACCCCTCCTACAGGAGAAGGTTCGTTGATAAGAACTGCGCCATCCGTCCTTTTTTCAGAACCGACAGTCCCTTCCATTAGGGTATACACGGTGTCTCGGTAAAGGACATAAGCAGATTCTGCTGTAGGGGTGTCTGGAAAACGGATGATGAAAACAATTTGGGCATCCATCCAATTTGTTGAGTCGGCACTATTTTGATAGCGCGCGGAAATTCCGAGTGCTGTATCCGTCAGCTGCGGGACGTTGGCAGGCAACGTGCTGTAGATTTGGCTTAATGCCCAATTGGATCGGAATAGCTTGGTGCTTCCATGTATCCTTTTGTTATTAGGTAGTAGTGCAAGCATTCGTGGCTCTGGCGGTGGGTCTTTAATTTGTGCAGCAACGGCTTTCGCGAGTGCGATCATGCCCTCACGAATACCAGTGGCGAATTCATAGCCCTCAATCTGAACGAAATACTTTCCCTTTGAAAACCGGAGATACCCGCCTGAAAGCATTGCCTTACTGCCAACCCATTCAAATTTCATTCTCGGATAGGTGTAGAAGTTGTAAATTCCGAAGGCATTTTCTGGCGTTCCCATATCGAAAATTTCGAGTAAAATCAACGGCTTTGAACCGAATTGAGGTGCTTCGTATTCCACCTCCGCTTGTCGTTCAAAGCCGTAAGCGTAGTAAAGATCGGGCGAAGCAGCTCTATCCCGATAGAGGGTTTTACCTTGATAGGTCGAAGGGGCACGCGATTGGACCCACCCTAATAATTCACCGTTGCTTGGTAAGAGATGTTCTGGCGAAAGTGTTGTCTGTAAAACATCCTCTGTCGTTGAGGTTTCTCCAACCTGTGCTGAGAACGCCTCTATGTTTTCTGCGACCTCCAGCATCGTCTGCTCTGCTCTCTTTGCTGTAGTACTGTGCCACACACCATAGATATATCTGCCTTCGCGCTGAACAACCGTCCAATCGCCTTGATCTCTATCGCATGAAATTAGGATCAAGCTGCAGAGAAGAAAGGTGCAGAGTGAGAAACGATGGAACCTATCAAAAATGTGTGCGCTTTTGCATTTCATTCGCGGGAGGGCTCCCGTGCTGTGTCTTGTTACCACTGTTCAGCAAGTTGGTTGTAAAGGTCTTCTACCAGTTCTCTACAATGCGCCTCTCGGCTTCTTCACGGGTTTCCATGGGTTCAGACCGATTTTGGACAATGTAGAAATCGTGAACTTGGAGATGGTTGTCAGTTTGAGCAATCATGTCGTTGCGAATTCTGTCAAGGAATTCGTATTCAATCTGTAAAGTCATGCGCACCATTTCGACTTCACCTTGGGGGCCATAGCCTTGCTCCCGTATATCAAAATCCTGTATCCGCATTGTAAACTCGGAATCGTTTCCGTCTCGCCATTTCCGGTTGAAACGTTGCGTGAGTTTTTCATGAATGACTTCATCGTAGGGTCGCTGGGAAGCGTTATCGTAAGCAAAATCCGCATCTAAGATTTCAACAGGCGCGATACGGATAGTGCTGATATGCTCGAGATATTCTGATTTAGACACATACCCACATCCAGCAGTTAAACCGAGGCATATCAATAGTCCTAATAGGAAGATTGTTTTAGACATTTTTCCCTCCGGGTCTTGTCGGAAAAATCGATCTGACTTGTATCGTAAAAACACATCTCTTACCCTTACCGGACACTCAAAATCTCAAACCACTTGGCAGGACAGGTTGTTGAAATTTCACCGGTGAAGCTTTCGGGCGTGGAGCTTTCTGCTCTTTGCCATAAAATACAGATTTGACGGTATCAACAATATAGCGCTTATAAGTAGGGGATGATAAAACAACAAAAACAAGGACGAGCAGAATAAGAACTATGGCTAAAAAATAGGTCAGCCACTTTTGATCGAGTAGATCGCCTTTATCGAGGGTATGTTTAGTTGTATTGTGGCGTGCTCTCATCGGTATGACCTCTTGCTTATTGGCGTATTTACTTTGTGTGAGTCTCTGTATCGTTACTTCAAGAAATCGAATGAATTGTAATTATTGGAATTATAGCACAAAAACAGATGACATGCAAGATTTTTAACAGAGGTTTTCAGTTTTCAGTCGTTAGCAATCAGCAGTCGGTTTCCATCAGTAGTCAGGGTCAGTGAGTGTCGCGACCGGGAGGTTGCTCCTACAAGAAAGCATCCGCGATCAGAAAGAGGTTTTAAAAACAAAATAGGGCAAGGAGTTATCCTTTACCCTATTTGTCTAATACATTAGTTATCAACTGCAACGTCGTGTAGTGTTCGACACTTTACTACCGAGAACGCCCTTTCGGAAGACGTGGCGAAGACCGTCGATCACGCACGTCGCGAGAATTATCGCGTTGGTCATACCGGTTGCCCCCACGCCGATCGCGGTTGTCATTTCCACGCCGATCGCGGTTGTCACGTGAGTCTCGATTATCACGGTAGTTAGGGCGACCCCCCTCGCGAGGTTCTCTGGAAGCATTCCAATCCGAAGAAGAGGATTCGCGATCCTCACTGGATTCAACCTTCAGTTCTTCAACCGGGACACCCCTCGCGGCAACAAGTGCCAGATCCACGCGGTCTTGATCGTCAATTGTGAGAACACGGACGGTGACCTCGTCACCAACCTGCATAACATCCTCTGCACGACGGACGTATCCATCTCCCATCTGCGAGATATGAACGAGTCCATCTTTACCGGGCAAGATCTCCACAAACGCTCCGAAAGATGCGATCCGTACGACTTTCCCGGTGTACTCCTTGTCGATTTCAGGCATGGCAGTAATTGCCCGGATTTTCTCTTCAGCACGTTTGACATCTTCTGCGCTCATCGCAGCGACCTCCACAGTCCCATCATCTTCAATGTTAATGGTTGTGTTTGTCTCCTCTTGGATACCTTGTACGGTTTTACCGCGAGGTCCGATGAGGTCTTTAATTTTCTGCGTTGCGATTTGGAGGGAGTAAATCCGCGGGGCATAGGGTGAAAGTTCAGCACGCGGCTCGGCTATAACAGCATTCATCTGTTCAATAACAGCGAGGCGCGCTTCTTTCGATTTGATGAATTGCGCGGCGCATCAATTCAGGCGTAACGCCCTCAATCTTGATGTCCATCTGCACGGCGGTAACACCTTCACTGGTCCCCGCAACTTTAAAGTCCATATCACCGAGAAAATCCTCGGTACCGAGCATATCGGTGAGTATAGCTTCCTGCTCACCTTCCTTAATAAGCCCGACACCTATTCCTGCGACGGGTCTTTTAATCGGTACGCCTGCATCTAACAGTGCGAGCGTCGCGCCACAGACAGTTGCCATAGAGGATGAGGCATTAGATTCTAAGATTTCGGCAACCATGCGGATGGTATAGTGAAACTCTTCCTTGTTCGGAATAACGGGTTCAAGTGCTTTTTGAGCGAGTGCTCCGTGTCCTATCTCTCGTCGTCCAGGTCCCATCATTCGTTTGACTTCGCCGGTACTGAATGGTGGGAAATTATAGTGTAGATAGAAGGCACTTCTTGCTTCGCCATCAAGTCCGCGTTGGACATCTTCATCGCCAGACGTGCCGAGAGTGGTTACACAGAGTGCCTGTGTCTGCCCTCTCGTAAAGAGTGCGGAGCCGTGCGTATGTGGAAGGAGTGCTACTTCCCCTGAAATAGAGCGAATGTCGGTTACGCCACGTCCATCAACACGTTTGCCTTGGGTAAGAATCGCCTGTCGCATCTCTTCTTTTTCGATCTCACTCAAGACAGAGATGGCATCTTTCGCTGCATTCGGATCACTATCTTCTGGCATCACCTCAAAAATTTCTGACAGCACATCTTCCTGCACCTGTTCCAGATAATCTTCACGAGATTTCTTGTCGACCATCCCGATAGATTCTCGAATGCGTGATGTTGCGAGACTGCGAACCTGGTCATTAAGACCTGATTCAACACTTTTGGAGGCATAGTCCCGTTTCGTATTACTGCATCCTGCTGCCAATCCCTCTTGGAGTTTAATGACCTCTTTTATCTGGTCGTGTGCGGTGATAATTGTGTCAATGACTTCATCTTCAGGAATTTCACTTCCACCGCCTTCAACAGACATGACCGCGTCCATCTTTCCACTGACGAATAACTCCATATCGGAGGCATGCAATTGTTCATAAGTTGGATTAATTATTAATTGGTCTTCGGCTTTTCCGACGGTGACTGCGGCGACAGGCCCATTAAAGGGTATATCGGAAATAGATAATGCGGCAGAAGTCCCAATAAGTGCTGGTACATCCGCAGGATGAACACCATCCGACGAAAACACGTTACATAAAACTTGCACCTCAGCATTAAAGTCCTTTGGAAAAAGGGGTCGGATGCAGTGGTCTATTAATCGAGCCACCAACTGTTCTGAGGTTCCCGGACGTGGCTCGCGTCTACCATAAACTGTCGGTATACGTCCACCGGCGTAAGCCCTCTCACGGTAATCTACTGTTAAGGGAAAGAAATCGAGGTTATGCTCACTATCATCGGCTACCACTGTGACCAAAACGACCGTTCCACCGTATTGTACCCAGACGGCACCGTCTGCCTGTTTCGCAACTTTTCCGGTTTCAATTGATAACTTCTCGCTCCCAAGTTGCATTTCAACTTTCATTCTATATACTACTCCTGTATTTCCAATTTTTTCGTCGTGCTACCAAGTAGGGACAGTAAAGATATAATTCGAGAACGGTCCTTACTCAAGAAACATATTACCAACTTGACGATGCTAACTACAGTTTTTAAGTGTTAGATAGTGTCGCGCCAACGAGACTTACTCGACACTTATTTACTACAAGATAGCACTCCGTCTGTTTCCACCTGTACCAATATATAAAAGCGTTTAGCACGCATAATAATCTAATTTGTCTTCAATCCGATAGTGTCACGAATTCCGAGTTCATTAATTAAACGGTAATAGCGCGTAGCGTCCTTCTTATAAAGATACCGCAACAAGCGGCGCTGTTTACCAACTAAGCGGAAAAGTCCATGGCGCGAATGATAATCCTTCCGGTGTGTCTGAAAATGCTCAGTCAACTGTTGAATACGCGCAGTCAAAATTGCGACTTGTGCCTCCGGGGAACCGGTGTCCTGTTGGTGTATCTGGTACTTTTGAATAAGTTCTTTCTTCTCTGCTGCACTAATTGCCAATTGCGTTCACCTCCGCGTAACAAATTTTTGGGCATTCGCAAACTTCACCGAAAACCAACTCATAAAGAGAACATTATGAAACAGTGCTGCCCGTCCCATACAATATAAAATCAAAGACTAAGTTGCGTTCGGGAAATCGCTCTTATCTTTATTTAATTTGATACGTATATAATACCACAAATTAGTCGAAAATTCAAATTAAACTCATCAGGACTTACGCAAACGCCATTTGGGAAGAAAGCGTCCGCTTCGGATTCTGCAAGCGAAACCGTGAAAAGAGAGGTCGCCGAGGCACGGGGACCTCGGCGAACAGACGCTTGCTGCGTAAGTCCTACTCATATTGGGTGTGTAAAGTTTTTGACATTAGGCGTTCCTTTTCTCTTCTGGAAGGGGTTTGGAATCCCGATTTTGCAACGCATCTAAGTTTCCCCAGCGGGGCGACAGGTGTATAGCAGCGGTTGACCCATACGCGTCAATTTAAGAAAATAGCAGGGTTTCCGTAGGTTGGGTAGAACGGTGTTGAGAAGGCAGGCCTCGGTGTTTCAACACACCTCAAATCCAATAGGCTGCCATATTATTCAAGAACATAGTGAAACCCAACTTCATACCCTCAGAGTCCGAGAGACTTCAGAATAAGTGCGTTGGGTTTCACTCGGTATTTCTTTTGATATAGCGTATATGGAGAGAACTTATTTTTCTATGACTTTTTACGGCTTTGATGCAATCCGTTCTACCCAACCTACGATGCGACATCAGTTTTCTTAAATTGACACCTATGTGTATAGCAGGGGTTGACCACAGACGACTCAGCTCCAGGGGGGCGACAGGTGTATAGTCCCTTCGGTTTCCCTTTTGACAAAATATTTACACACCCACTCATATTTCCAAGGAGTCTCCGCATTTATAGTAAAGTTTAGAATTAATTGGGCACTGTGCACCGGCGAGGTTAGGAAACCTCGCCTACCGGGGGATGAAAGTGTCTCTTTATTTTTAGGTTTCACTATAAATGGCACCTCCATGAGAATAGGTAGACTCGGCAAGAATCTTCGCTGCATCAGTAATGTCGCGTTGTATTTGTCGAATGAGCATCTCAGGATTCGGAAATTTCTGTTCACTCCTAATTTTCTCTACCAAAAATATTTCTACAGGTTTGCCGTAGATCATTTCATCAAAATCAAAGAAGTGACTTTCTACCCGAACAGTTGTGCCGTTAAATGTAGGGCACACCCCGATGTTCAATACGCCGTCCAACCATCGTTCCTCTAATTTTGCCCGGATGGCGTAAACGCCATTGGGAGGACAGACTTGATTCTGTGTATCTATATTGGCAGTTGGAAAACCAATCTCCTTGCCGCGACCATCACCGTGTACAACATTACCAAGCAAGGAATACGGACGTCCCAATAGTTGTGAACTGCAATGAAGGTCCCCATGAGCGAGTGCTTCTCGGATTCGGGTGCTATGGACGGGTGCCCCATTTATCTCTGTCGGCGGCACAATGGTGACATCAAACGGATAAACTTCACTGAGCTCCGCCAATCGTTGCGCATTGCCAGCGCGGTCCTTCCCGAACTGACAGGCATATCCAACGACAACATGTCTGGCTCGGCATTTTTCCAGGAGCACCTGCTCCACAAACGATTTCGGAGACATCACTGCTATTTGTGCATCAAAACTGAGCATGACGATTTCATCAATACCAAGCTGCTGAAGAATTTCGACGCGTTTGGAGAGAGGTGTCAGGAGAAGTGGACAACGTTCTGGCGCAAGAAACGCGAGGGGATGCGGATAAAAACCGACCAAGACACTCATCAAGTTATGTTGTGAAGCGCGTTCAAGAAGGTTACTGATAACCGCTTGGTGCCCAATATGAATCCCATCAAACACGCCAAAAGTAACAGCTGCGCCTCTGTCGAATCCGACTATATCATCCAACCTACAAGTCGTAGGGACGACTTGCAGATTGCTCCTCTTACTAGCTTTTTCCACGTTGCTCAATCCTTCTGGCAATCACCATGTTCCTAAGAGCCCTGATCAATGTAGCGTTGTGCAGTTTGAACAAGCGTATTAATAGCAGAAAGGTAAGGCATGACAACCCTGCAACCTGAGGCCCGGGCGTGTCCGCCCCCCTCAAATTCAGCAGCAAGTTGACTGACATCAACGTGTCCCTGGCTCCGCAGGCTCACTTTTGCGCTTCGATCGGTCATCTCAGATACACAGAGTGCCACTTCAACCCCCGCTATTGCTTGAATCTGATTCACGATGCCTTCTACCGCGTCAGGAGTCGTTCCTGTTTTCCGAAACATCCCTTGTGTAGCATACACTGACGCGATCTTTCCATCATCGGTCACCTGCAAGGTGCGGAGAACTTCACTTGAGAGGCGAATTTTAGCGACAGGAAGTTGCTCATAAACGTTCCGGTAGACTTCATCTGGTGCAAATTCCCCTACCTCAATTAATTCTGCAGCGATCCGATGTGTTTCAGCAGTCGTATTGCTGTATCGAAAACAACCGGTATCAAACATAAGTCCTGTATAAAGACAGAGCGCACACGATTTATCTATGGGTCTCTGGTGATACTTAATGAGTTTATAAACAATCTCTGAGGTAGAAGAAGCTGAAGGCATAATGAGGTTGATGTCCCCGAACGCCTCCGCGGTGGCGTGATGGTCAATGTTAACGAGTTTGTGTGTCGGTATCAAGGTTTTGGAAAGCGTTTTTCCAATTCGTTCGAGTGTGCTTGCGTCTAATACAATTAGCACCTCCGGACGATATGTACTGAGAGCATGTACACCGTCAATGATCTTCCAGCAAGGCAGAAATTTATAGTTGCCCGGTACAGCATCTGTATTAAATATTTTAACGGATTTTCCGAGCCTCGTGAGAAAGAGGTAGAGAGCTAACTCGGAACCGATTGCGTCTCCATCCGGATTAATGTGAGTTGAGAGTGCAAAGTCGTGGTACCGATTGAATAGGGTAAGGAGTGCACCGTAGTTCTGCATATCTGCTATCTGTAAGGTGTTCATGAAAGGTCCACTGTGGGGTTTTCGGATGTCTCGTCTTCTGACGCAACAGATTTGAGGAGTCCATCTATTTTAAAGAGGTAGTCAGCGGACTCATCAATAGCAAATCTGAGTTCCGGGGAATACCGGAGCGTGAGGCGGTTCCCGATTTCTCGCCTGAGGAACCCTGCTGCACTTTTCAGACCAGCAAGCGTTTTATCTTTCTGTGCCTCGTCCCCAATACACTCACTTTAACATCTACATACTTCAGGTCCGGCGACACGTCTGCCTGTGTGACAGTACAAAATGCGACGCGCGGATCCTTGACAGAACGTTGGATAATCTCACTCAATTCTCGTTGAATGAGGGCCCCCACCCGATCTTGCCTTCTACTATCTGCCATGTTGTCCCTATCTTTCAGAGCAAGCTTTAACTTGCGAGTTTCGTCAGAAAAAAAATTCTGTTTCGTAATCTACTAACTCAGCGTCTACATTCTTCTCAACAAAAGTGATGACATGCGAGATAAGCTTATTGAGATGCGCTACATCGTTGGAAACAGAAACAGCGGCTAATACCGCAAACTGATGTGCATCTAACGCTTCAACTTCCGCGATAGCGATATTGAAACGATTTTTGAGTCTAGCGACAAGACTTTTGATAACCCGGCGCTTCGCCTTCAACGATTGGCTATCGGGGATGCGTAGCCGGATTTTACAAACACCGATATGCATGAAGGTGTCAGTTAATTGTAAGAGTAGGTGCGGTTTTCAACCGCGCCGTTTGGGTAAATAGGTTATTCTACAAACTCAGCTGCTTAGGAAAGCGAACGCGCGATTTGTTCATGGACATAACATTCAAGAACATCACCGATCTGTAGGTCTTCAAATGTCTCTATGCCTATACCACATTCATAGTTCGCTTGTACTTCGTTTACATTATCCTTGAATCGACGCAGCGAATTGACTTTCCCTTCGTGAATCAAGCGATTATCGCGAAGGATACGAAGCGGTTGGTTGGAAGAGATTCGTCCCCAATTGACATAGCTGCCAGCAACTACACCGAGACGGGGCACCTTAAACAATTCGCGAACCTCTGCCCGTCCGATAACGACTTCTCGCACCTCAGGATCAAGCAAGCCTTCCATCGCCGAATGGATATAGGAAATGAGGTTATAAATTACGTTGTAGGTCCGAACATCAATACCTTCAGCTTCCTTGGCTTGCACTGCTTCCGTTGTAGGATGAACGTTGAAACCGACGACAATAGCATTAGATGCAGAGGCAAGCAAAATATCGGTTTCAGTAATACCGCCGACTGCCTGGTGGATAATGTTGATTTTAACTTCGTCGGTACTCAATTCGAGCAGCGATGAGGCAACCGCTTGTACCGACCCTTGCATGTCCCCTTTAAGCACAACATTTAATTCTTTAATTTCGCCTTCCTGAATCTGTTGGAATAGGTTTTCCAAACTGACATGGCTGTTCTCGCCGAGTTTTTCGGTACGGTACTGATCCTGACGGGTTTCACTGATCGTACGAGCATCCCTATCAGATTCAATGGCATAGAATTTGTCGCCCGCTTCTGGAACACCGGTAAAACCGAGTACCTCAACAGGGACCGAGGGGACCGGCTTCTTTCAATCGTTTCCCAAGATCGTCCATCATTGCTCTAACTCTCTCCGGAATATCTGCCGGAGACAAAGACATCTCCAACCCGCAAAGTTCCGGACTGCACAAGAACGGTCGCAACTGCCCCGCGCCCTTTATCTACTTGTGCTTCAATAACAGCACCGCGAGCAGGTTTATTCGGGTTTGCCTTAAGTTCAAGGAGTGCCGCTTCCAAAAGGAGCATCTCGAGCAAAAAGTCAATACCTGTTCCGTCTATAGCGGAAGTCTCAACACAAATTGTTTGCCCACCCCAGTCTTCAGGAACGAGTTCATGTTCTGATAATTGTTGTTTGATATAATCTGGACGCGCGCCAGGTACATCTATTTTGTTAATCGCGACGACAATGGGGACTTTAGCAGCTTTTGCGTGGTTAATTGCCTCAATAGTCTGAGGCATGACACCATCGTCAGCTGCAACAATGAGAACAACGATATCGGTTACCTGTGCGCCGCGTGCGCGCATTGCGGTAAAAGCTGCGTGTCCGGGCGTATCTAAGAAAACGACATTTCCACCCTCTAAGGTCACATGATAAGCACCAATATGTTGTGTAATATTCCCTGCCTCAGATTCACTAATATTTGATTGACGAATAGAGTCCAAGAGAGAGGTTTTGCCGTGGTCAACGTGCCCCATAATTGTGACAACCGGCGCACGAGGTTTGCAGAAATTCTGGTGGATCTGGTGTCTCGACTAACAATACTTCCTCAAGTGTTAGCGATTTGACTGCTTCAAAATTTAAGTGTTCACCAAGCATCACAAGGGTATCATAATCAAGTCGTTGATTTATGCTCGCCATCACCTTTAATTTCATGAGTTGCATAATCAATGCAGAAGGCTGCAATTCAAGTGTCGCAGCGAGCTCAGCAACAGTTGTCCCCTCTTCGATTCGCAAACCCTTCGCTGTGTTAGATGATGGATCTGTAGTGTCTTCAATTGACCCTTCAATTGTAGAAACAGCTTCCGCTGGTTCGGCCATCTCAGATTCAATCAAGGCGACGGTATCTGAATCAAGGGAGCTCATATCGTTTTTAACGCGAACACCACGTTCCGCCAAGAGAGCGATAAGTTCCTTGGTTGTTAGGTTGTATTGCTTTGCCAATTCATGAACTGGTGTACCCTGATCTTGTTTCTTTCAGGATTTTCTTTGGCGGATCTTCGCCGCTGTCGCGGTGCTTTTCTCATGATAACTCCTCCTTTTTTCCTATTGTGCTGGCGGATCTCTCGGTCCATTCAAGAAGGACTTTCTCAAACCGCTCTATAACCACGTTTGTCAGTTGCACACGTAATAAAGAATTAATCCGTCTTGGAGACTTAAACGCTTTCTGAATGCAAGGTTGAGAGAGGCAGACATAAGCCCCGCGCCCGTGCAATTTTTTGTGGTTGTCAATTCGTAGTGTTTCATTCTTCTGACCTACAAATCGTATTAATATTTTTTGCGAAAATTTTCCACGGCACCCAATACAAGTGCGAATAACATCCGTCAACCACTTCACCCACTTTTTTGAACCTTCAATCGGTATGCCGATAATCCTCGCACAGATATTAGAGATTACAAGATAGCCGCCTTAGAAGACTATTCAGATTCAACATCGAAATTGTCAATCTCAGTAGCAATATCAAGCGTCTCAATATTCTCTTCCGAACCTACAGCAGATTATTCTCCTCGTCAGAAGTTTCCAGTGCCTCAACTTCAGCGGTATCCACATCCACATCTACCTCAACATCCTCAGCGGTATCCACATCCACATCCACATCTACCTCAACATCCTCAGCTGAGTCAACAGAATGATCAGCATCCATTGAATTAGGCGCATCGGCAATTTGCTCTTCAAGATTTTCCTCAGTCCCGTCTTCTGGACTGTCCAGTGCGTCATCATCTGTTTTATGAGGTTCTTCCGGTTTAAAGAGTTCGTTCATCGAAACAGTCGCTTCGGATTCTCCCTTTATGTCAACTTTCCAACCCGTCAACCTTGCAGCGAGCCTCGCGTTCTGTCCACGTTGACCAATAGCTAAGGAGAGTAGATCGTCCGGCACAATGACGCGTGCGCTTTTATTTTCATCGTCAAGTTCTACTCTACGCACAGAGGCGCGACGCCCCAAGGCATTAGCAATAAAAGCGCTTATATCCTCGCTCCATTCAACAAGATCTATTTTTTCGCCATCAAGTTCGCTAATAATATTTTGGACGCGGGTTCCCTTAACACCGACACACGTGCCAACAGCATCTATGCCCTCCTCTGTCGCTTGAACAGCCACCTTCGCACGATTGCCCGGATCACGTGCAATTGCCACAATACGCACCTGCCCCTCATAGATTTCAGGGACCTCTTGCTCAAACAATACTGCGATTAGATCGCTATGGGTTCGAGATACTATGACAGGCGCACCACGCGCCTCATTTTTTACCGATAAAATCAGACATTGCAAACGTTTGCCACGTTCATAATTCTGCGACCTTGGCATCTCGCGTGGTGGTAAAAAGGCTTCCGTCTGCTCAAGATCCAAGATGATACCACCTCGTTCAAAACGCTGGACATAACCCGTAACGACCTCACCTTCGCGGCCAACAAACTCCTGATAGACTCTTTCACGTTCAGCTTGTTTGATCCTTTGGAAAAGGATTTGCTTCGCTAATTGTGCCGGAATCCTACCAAACTCGGTCGGATTGATTTCGACCTTCAACATCTGACCGAGTTCAATATCGCCCTGAAGTTTCACTGCTTCTTCAATCGGAATCTCTGTGGAAAAATCACGCATAATATCAACGACTTTTTTTGGGACGTAGCAGCGTATATCACCTTTTTCCAAATTAACCTCAACAGAAACATTGGCATCGGGACCGTAAACCCGGCGTGCAGCAGCACAGAGCGCATCTTCTATTGCTTCAATAAAAACCTGTTCAGGTAAATCCGTCTGCGCAGTATTTTGACGAATAGCATTTTGGAGATTCTCTAACATAAATAATGTTCGCGGGCTCTTATTTCATATAGACTTGCAAACAACAAGTTATATCATTTCAGTCCGCGTACTCCTTTCCAATTTTTTACATAGCGTGCGATGTGCATCCTTCGCTCTTGCCAGTTACCATTTCAGATGTATGTGTGCTGTGCGAATTTGTGAAATCTGAACAGAGATGTTCTTTCCGCCAGTTTGCGCCAAGACGACGCTCTCTGGATGTACTTCTACAACTGTGCCTTGTACATGATATCCGTGTTCATTTTCCGATTCCGAGGCGACTTCTATCTGAACAGTACGCCCACAATTTCGCCGAAAATCCTTGGCGGTCTGCAAAGGTCTATCTATCCCGGGTGAAGCGACTTCCAATCGTGTGTAACTCGCTAAATGCTCATGGACTTCTAAGATCGGGTGTACGATATGGTTCACTGCTTGGCAATCCACTACCGAAAGACCACCTTGCTTATGAATGAGTAACCGCAGGGTTCGCCCGCGTGTCTCAATATCCACGAGTTCAATGCCATCAACGTCAAGCACGGGTGCTAATATTTCAATAATAGAGTTTTTCTGGGTTGTTGTCATACGTACGTGATAGACCCAAGTCTAAAGACTTGGGCTTCCGCAAAGTTATGCAGAAGCTTTCGTGGTATCAACAAGGGTTGCTTGCTCTGCAAGTCTGACCCCCTCTCCGCCAAGGGTTGCTATCCCAACCCTGAATATATTTCTGTTTCATCAAGGTTCGCCATGACGCGTCTTCCTTGATATATTCAAATCCACAAATGCGAGTTTTTGGCTTAGCATTTTGTGCTACGTTGAAGCGTCCAGTCTAAGATAGATTGTACCCGATTTTAGACCAAAATTCAAATCTTTTTTTCAAGCGTTTGGTCCCATTAACGAGGGAAACCTACTTTCATCCCAAACCTAAAGGAATGGATTTTCAGTCCGTAAACAAGATAAAAAGTTAGGGATGCGTCCCAATCACGTGTTTGCACCGCAATATGGTGTGTCCCACACCCTTGAATCACTGGATTCTTTGTTCCAATCCGCATTCTATGCTCCCTCTGCTGTACATAGGAATCTTCGGCACTGGCTGCAAGCCAAAACATGTAGCTAAAGCAAGATTCGCAAAGGTTATGACATAATTGTATCATATCTTGTGCCGTAAGTCAAATTAAATAGGACTTATCGCCCTGATTAAGGAAAGTCGCGAATCGGAGTTCGCTCCTACACAGGTCTGTCTTTGTTAGGAAAGTTAGGAAAGTCGCGAATCGGAGCGTGCTTCTACACGGGTCTGTCGGGATTCGGAGATCCCTCCTACGGAAGAACTAAATGACCCTGGATCAAGTTGTAGAAATCATTTCATTTTTAGGGGAAGTACGCTATAATATTTACCATGAGTATGTTCCGTGAACACTGGATCGGTGGGTTAGTAGCTTACAGTACTTTTTTCATTATCTCATTTATCACTACCATTGCCGTTCCAATCCTTTATGATACGATGCCACAAGATTGGAATCCAACGATTCCACCGGTGAGAGCCCCGATACAAATCATCGGTTGTTTTGCCGTAGCAGTGCTGTTTGGGTTGTGGCCAGATGTTGATATCAAGAGCAAAAGCCAGAAGATATTTTATAGTGTACTATTTGTGCTGAATGTGGTACTGATTTTTTTTTTTACAGAGGTACCTGGAATCAGCACTTTTAGGACTCTTTGCGATGCTCCCGATTATGAGCAAACATCGCGGGTGGACGCACGCCAAAATTACCATGATTTTGCTCCCGAGCGTGTTCCTGTTCGTTCCGATTTATGCTGGATATCCAGAATGGAAGTCGGGCAGTAATCTCGTGGACCAGTTCAATGCGTTACAAGATTGGGATTACCTTCTGGACGCTGTCCTTAGCGGCTTACCATTCTACGTAGCAGGTTTCATCGGTTATGCGACGCATCTCCATCTGGACGGCATCCTATTTCGTTCGCGGAAAGCACAACGACAAAAGGCTCGGGCAAACCAGTGAACACAACAACTCAGACGCTTCAAGAACTATTTGGCAATCAAATCATGCAGGCACTCGGTAATTTTGCCAATGCGCGAGGCGTGCAACTCTATCTCGTCGGTGGCAGCGTGAGAGATTTATTGCTCAAACGTCAGACGACAGATATTGATTTTGCCTTAGCCTCGGATGCGATTCAGTTTGCCGAAGCGTTTGCCAACAGCATCGGTGCAACTTGCATCCCGCTTGAAGAAAACCCGGCCACTGCCCGTGTAATTGTCAAGCAACATGACATTTCGCAGACACCGTATCTAAGCATGGATTTTGCCCAATTCCGAGCTGCATCGCTCACTGAGGATTTACGTTTGCGGGACCTGACAATCAATGCAATGGCAATTGCGTTTGAAAATGTGGAATCGGTTACACACAACGCGTATGAACAAAATTCCTTTCGCGTGATTGACCCGTGTGACGGTATGAAAGACTTAGAGACAGGTTTGCTCCAATTTCCGAGTGAACAAGTGGTGCAAGACGATCCGGTTCGTTTGCTGCGGATTTACAGATTCGCAGCGCAGTTGGATTTCAAGATTTCCGAGAGTGCAATCAATTTGGTAACAAAGCACCGATCGTTACTCTCTAACATAGCGGCGGAACGGTGCCGCGACGAACTGATGAAAATTTTTAATGTTAAGAAGGCACATCCATATCTACAACACATGGAAACAGTTGGATTACTTACCGAAGTCGTTCCGTCTATAAAAGAGGCAGACAGGTCCTGGAATCCGCTTGAGGCTTTTGAAAAAAGTCCAATCCCGATAGGACTCCATGTATACCACAGCGAAATTAATGATTACCTGCAAGAAAAACTTGGTGCGGAGGTCAATCGGCATTCGTTAATCAAGTTCAGTCTACTCTTAGGAGATAACTTCGGTGGTGTCGGCGCGCATCTTCGATTGAGTCGTAAAGCAGCACAGTTTATGAAACGTCTTCTCAGCGGCCAGCAAAGCACTTAGAAATGAAAATCGGCAATTGACCCAAAAACAGATAATTCGCTTTCTTAGAACATACGCATCCGAGTGGTGGGGTGTGCTTCTCTATGCGGCGGCATCACACCCGATTGATCCGACATTACTGAAACAGATTGCTCATACGTACTATGAACATATCCTGCCGATTAGCAAACAGGGTAGACTCATCACCGGAGATGATTTGATTAAGCACTTTGATTTGAAAGAAGGGAAACAGATCGGAAGGTTGTTAAAAGAGATTGAAGAACGCCAGTTTGATGGCGAAATCCGAACGCGTGAAGAAGCACTTGCTGCCGTAGCGGCATTAATCCAGCAGCCTAATCGCTTTCTTTGACAGGACTTATACCAAATTAACTTGATTAGAAGTCTTTTGATCAAGTCAGCATTGCGAGGCACAGGGACCTCGCGCTACAAATGGGGTTAATTTGGTATTACGCAAATTGCGTAAAAAAGCAAGGTATTTCACCAAAAGCGTCGTTATTTCCGTTATTTAACCCCCTAAATCCCCCTTATCAGGGGGACTTTGAGAGGAAATGCGTAAGTCCTATTTGAGTTACAATTTTGTTTGATGCTTTCGTAGAAATTTCGGAATCAACGATAGCGCAAGCAAAAGCACACCGGCAATTCCGAGATAGATCGCAGTCTTCCAAAAGTTGCCTTCGCCGCTGACAAACGCGCCTCCGAGTTGAACGAGTACTATTGTCCCCGGTAACATAAAAATAGCAGAGACGAGAACATAAATTGGAAACCGAATGCTGGTGAGTCCATAGGCGTAATTTTGAAGGTTAAACGGAAAAATTGGGACCAAGCGTGTAAACATCAAGATACGCCACCCCTGTTCATCAACCTGTTCATCTATCTTGCGGAATTGTGCGTTACCCTTGACCCATCTTTCAACAAGATCGCGAGCGACGTAGCGGGCAATGAGGAATGCGACAGAGACCGAGATAATAGAGGCTATGGAGGCGTAGAATACACCCCACAAGGGTCCGAAGACGAAACCTGCTAACACGGTTACCGGGGAACCAGGCAGAAAAAAGACAGTGGAAACAAGATAAAGCCCAATATAGACTAACGGTGCAATTGCCCCAAAACTTGCAACCCATGTTTTGATTTTCGGAACATTTTCTAACCGCACCTCGTCTGTTATACCGTAGTGTCTCAATACGAAATAAACTACTGCAACAATGCCTACGGCGATCAGAATTTTAATTACGCTTTTTTTCATTTTCTCGAAATTGCCTCCAAATAGGCTTTAATCTGTGCTTGATACCGGACAGGAATACGATTATTGTCTACGGCTTCGGCATACGCGCGCTCCGCATTGAGGACTACATCGCTGAAAGGTAAATAGGCTGGACTATTGTTGCTGATCTCACCAGTAATAGCATCAGAAAAACTTTGTGCATTACCAGAGACCTCTGCTGTAAGTGTCAACCGCTGTCCATCAATTTGTAGGGTTGGTATTTCCTCGCCAATCAACGGTGTAGAATCTGTTGTGTCTGTTTCGTTTTCAACTTTCTCTGTATCGGTTGTCTGCGATTCTGGCTGTGAATCGGTATTCAATGTGCCTTCACGCGTGCCTTGTACTTCTCTGCTTCCGGCGTTTTGCCCAGGTGCCCCATCGCTATTCGCAATCCCACCCCCTTGGGACGCAGTTTCAAGCGTTGCTAATGCTAACTCCTTCTGGTTCGCCGTGAGCTGCGCTTCCAATTGTGTCAGATCGATTGTTTTTTCCATCATCTCAAGTGCAGCAATGATGTCCTGCAACGTCTCTGGCGTAACTGACTTGCCTTGAATCTGATTCAGTGAATCGTTGAGTGATCCCTCCGGTAGATTTTCAGCCAAATGTTCAAAAAGACTCATGAGTTCCGCTTGGAGTTCCGGTGGTATCTCAATTTGCTCAGTGAGGTTATTCAGTTCTGCAGCGAGTTGGTCGGCATCCATGCCGCGAAAGTTTTGCGTTGCCTGTGTGGCTTCGGTAATAGCGTTTTGCTCTGATTGCTGCTTGCGTACCTCTTTTTTTAAGTCGCTGAGATTTCTTTGTGCGGTGTCAAGATCCGTTGCGGCTTTCAACTGATTTATGGTATCGCTGATTTGCTGCTGTAGGGTTGAATTTTTGACCTGTTTTCCATCAAGGCTCTGAATGGCTTTATCCAATGCCTCCTGCTGGAGACTGGTGAGCGGCTGCGGTACGTCGTAGAAGGTGGGTATGATGAAAGAAAGTCCAATCAATAGCAGAGGCATCGGAAATAGTATCAGGAACTTTGGCACACGATATGGACTTACCTTTGCAATGTCTAAGGTTGTTACAGTCTCTGCAGCATCTCGGATTTGGCGTTGTGAAAACTCGCTTTGGGGAACAGTCTGTATCAATCCAAACGCCGTGCCGAGACGTTCTCTGAGTTCCATTTTTTCATCAACAGTCCGCGCGACAAGCCATAAATCTTTGCGATGTTTAAAACTGATGCAGATGCCTACCGCTATCGCCACAGACACGATAATCCAGCTGATACTTGATATTTGCCACGGTAGGGGAATCACCCGGTTCAGAAGGAACAGAACAGCAAGTAGAATGAGTCCACAGAAAAATGTCCATACAGTTGTATGTAAAAGTGCCTGCCGATACATTCTATCTCGAATGTCGGTTAGACAATTTTTGATGCGTTGTGCATCTAATCCTTCGCTTTGGTCGTGTTTAGTTTTTACCATGCGAGTTTCTCCACTGTTGCCATAACCGCATCAGGGGTAATCGCCGCAAGATTCTCGCGTGCGCGATCTGGATGTGCGTCCCACTCCTTGGACGAGAATGTTTTCAAAAACGGACACTCTTTACGGGCAATCACCGCATGCTTGTCCCACGGCGGTGCCCACTGGATAAGATTTGACGCACCAAACAAGGCAACCGTAGGCGTTTTCACGGCAGTACTGAGGTGCATCGGTCCCGTATCATTACTTATATAGAGACTACATCGTTGCAGAAGTGCGGCGAGTTGCATTGGGGTCGCCTGACTGACAATAATAGGTGAATACACCATCTGTTCCGCTACCTGATCCGCTAATTCGCCCTCCCGGGGTCCGGTCGTGATGACAATGTGTGCATCATACACTTCATGAAGTCGGTCGCCGAGATCCGCAAAATTTGATGCATGCCAGCGGCGATACGCGGTCGCTGCGCCTGGATTAAGACCGATAATGGGCCTGCCATCATCAAACTTCTGCTTTTCAAGAAAATTGTTCACCCACGCGATACCTGCCCTGTCAACAAACACCTCCGGTTCATCGTCTACAACTTCAACATCTAAGGCACGAACAACATCAAGATAGCGTTGTGTCTCGTGCTGTGCAGTGTTATTTGGTACCGCGAGGCTCAATAACTTTTTCCCGCCAGCGTTTGTTTCAAAACCGACACGAAACGGAATTCGGGCAAGAAATGTATGAAGTACCAAACGGAAGGTAGGTTGTAGTACAACCGCCATGTGAAATTTTCGACGGGCGATTTGATAAATCAGCTTTGGCACCGAAGCATGGTAGGTAAGCACCTCATTGAGATGTGGATTCTCGGACACCAAATCCTCTCGTGTCGGTGCTACCATATAAGCAATATAAGCATCTCGAAAGTGCTGTCGTAAGGCACAGATGACAGGTGTTGTCAAAACCGTTTCTCCGAGTGGTGCGAGTCTAATGATTAAAATGCGATTGATCTGCTCAGGTTTTAGCATATTGGAACTGCTTCTATTGGACAGCGATTTAGGCTTTGTTCGGTAGATGTTTCTACCATACTACCGTTTGTACAGACAATTTTAGAGTCACAACCACTAATCATAAATAATATACCAATTATTCCACTCTTTGTCCTGTTGAG